CGCAACGGGGCTCTTCGGCAGTCTCTGGTTTTAGTAAAACTCGGGCGTCAGGCCTCAGGTTTCGCAAGGCCGTGATCGACCGCTAATCATACCCTGCTTAGCCACTAGTGCCGGCACCTTGACGCCCGGACATGATCGACGCGCGGAGGGACGGGGGGTGGCTGGGGACCGACGGGTACCAGGTGCGGATCTAGGTCGGTGTGGGTGACCCGGGTGCATTCGGGGCGTCGTCGTTGAGCGCTGTGGACGGTATGAACGCCTGTACCACACGGGTTTGAGCGCCTTCAGACTATGTGTGGTCGGCGCTTTACACATCATCCAAAGTAAACTCACCAACGCAGTCGAGCCCTCCTGACCACCCTCAAACGTCAGCATGACTCCACTACTAACCACCTATCACACACCATTCTTAGTCCACCAAAATCAGAACCCTCCCGACACTCAACTCATAAACCCAATCGAAAGATGACACACGGGGCCCATTAACACGCCACAACAGCGCAGACGCGGGCAACACCGGCATATGTTACGCCTGCAAGTGGGTTTGTGGCTCGTCCCGTCATGTATGGCATATCTCGTGCACCATAGTATCAGCGCCCAATGTCCATGTTCGGTCGCGCGTCGCGGTGTGTTAGGGGGTATTTCTGACGGGATGCTTGGTTTGGGGGGGGGGCTGCGTGTTGCCTCCTTCTTTTGTATGTGGAGTAATAGTGGTGGTGGTAGGGTCACCAAAGTCGATGTAGTCAGATTCCTTGTAGGTTTGAAATCATAAGGTCTCTTGAATGAGAATCAACTATTCCCGTCGACAGCGAGGCTTTTGGATATACTTAAAGACACCAAGTAAATACTCACCCTAACAAATCCAAATCCAAATCCAAATCCCTATTCCCAAATCCCAATCCATCTCAGCCTTTGGTAATTCGCACTTCTACCTCCGCCTCCGCCTCCAGGTCGTGGCAACATGGGCCTTGAGTCACGCTCCACGTTCAGAGCGCTCCATCCAACAATCCTAATCTCGAATTGGGATCATGACAGAACAGACCAGTCTTCGTATTCAGACACAGCGGCGAGGGGGAGAAAGGGTCGAAATCACGGATAGCTCCGAAGCTCTCACTCCCGAGTCCCAAGTGGGGCGCAAGGAAAGTTTTTATTTCGAAACTCAGCGGCGCGACGTGAGCGAGCGAGTCCGAGTCATGCATCAACTACATAGTGTCCTGGCCCAACCGCTGCCAATTCAATGTTCACCAGACTTCAACAGGCCCAATCCGTTTGGATCGGAACACGACGTTCTCATTTCTCGTTTCTCACTACTCCGTCACTAGTTCACTGGCAAGGACGAAAATTAGACTCGGCTTTCATCCGCGGTTCACTCCATTGAGCTTGATCCTGTACCGACTCTATACCTCCTTGGGTATTTCCCCGTTGCCCGATGACGGCGTCATATGTACGTGGCGATGCCCACCGCACCCGGAGTCCCGAGTCTTATGCTTGGAAATGGTGATAGAAGAGCCTCGTACACTAATATGTATGTACTCTATGAAACCTCGGGGCCTGGAATGGTAGTTTAGATAATGGGATCGTTGTTTACGTTCAGCGGATATTTACAGGCTAAACCACCTCATTCAGGCTCTGTATCAGGCCCAGGACCCAGGTCTAGACAAAGTTGGTTCAACTTTCTCAGCACGGACCACCCGGCCTCTCGCGAGCTTCTAGGTGAAGAACTCGACCCCTTATATACCGGGAACAACAACAATACCAGGCCGGGCTAAGAACCAACTGATTAAATGTTACCACAATGGATTCTCGAAGGGGAGGAACACGCCATCCGGATCGGCCCACTCCGGTCCCAGCCCCCAAATCCCATTTCAGTTCCCGGTCTCCGGAATCCAGAAGATGGTGTATTATTATACTTGTACTTGTAGTACGTATGCTTACAGCAACTCGAAGCATCTCCGCCTCCGAGCTCGTGTCCGAGCCCGTCATGATCCTCTAAATGAAATGAGCTTCTGGGTATTCACTATCCGAGGCCAAGACCAGGACCAGGACCAGGACTAGAACCGGGGAGCGGAGAGGATGGTGTGCCGTGCTTTCTCGTCGGTGGTTACGTGGAGGAGCCAGACTATGCCAGCGGAGGAGTGAAATCGACGGGTCCGATACGCCTGGGACGGGACACCTATAGAACGGCCAAGAGTGTTTTTTATTTATAGCTGTAGTGGTATAAACGGTACGTAAGATAATCATCAGATTGGGCGCGGGCAGGATGGAAATCACCTTGCTGTTTTGAAACGAATACAAGGGTTCACAATCTGTTGTAATTCTAAGCGAGAGCGAAACATTCGTTGTACATGGGGGTTACCTGTGAACAACATACCATGATATCAGGTATGATACTGTGGGCCATGTGCGTGATATGGCGGCGGGCTGTGTGGGTGTGTAATGTTCACTCCTTCCGTAAGTATCGCCGTGACGTGTATAGATAAACGCGTCAACGATCACTTCGATCGGAGAATTGGGCACGTCGCAGGTATCCAGCCAACAAGCCGGAGAAGGGTGTCATGGAAGATGCAGAAGCGCCGCCGCTGTCGAGCTAAAACAGACGACTTGTACGTGGTTATTTTTTTTGGTGTTGAAAGTGAAATCGTGTGGCAGGCTCCGTATGAAACGAATAGGTGACAAAGACGCAGGGGAGATCGGGGTGGGCAGGGTACAGCCATCGGAGACGGAGGAGAGCCTAATCGTGATTGGGATCAAGAGGCGGGTGATGGAGGAGACAATGGCCGTCGTCCTCGTAGACACTCGCAATTGTGGTACGATTGCAACTAGAGAACGACATATGGCAACTCAGAGGGCAGTGCAGGTGACTGGATTCGGGACTCGACTGGACTCGGTAACCAAGGAAGTCTAATTTTGGGGTGTACCGTTGTTTTGGGACGGGATCGCCAATTTCGGTGATCGGAGATTGAGCACATATACGCTGTCAGAAATCCAGATTCGACCACGCATCCATCCACCCTACCATGACCACACCCACCACCTCGTCTCTTTCCCTCTCCGACTTCCCCGAGGAGCTGCTCGACCGCATACTCTCCTTGTCCCTCTCGCCGTCGTCGGTGCCCCCATCCCCGCGCCCAGCATGGCACCCGCTCTCCTCTTCCCGGCCCCGCACTCGCCTCGCCCCGCTGCTCATCTGTCGCCGCCTCGCCCGTATCGGTACACCCCACCTCTACCACGCGATCCATCTCTCCGCACCCACCACCACCCGCCTCCTCCTCAAAACTCTCCACTCCAAACCGGCCCTTGCAGAACACGTCCGTGTCCTCAGCCTCGCTTCCGTCACAAGCGATGCCGGCGCGGTTATGAGCCTCTGCAAGGGCGTGTCGAGCCTGGAGATCATGCTGGATGCCATGCACGGGGACGCCGATGATTTTGCTTTTGTGCGCGGCTTGCGGCAGATGAAAGAGGTCAGGCATTTGACACTCAGAAAACCAGGCACCGTATACCTCTCCCTGCCCCGTGCACGCTTCGTCATCGCGGGTCTCGCAGCTGCGATCGACGAATGGACAGACCTCGTATGTTTCGTTGATTTTGCCCTGTTGCTCCTAATTTAGCTTCCATTAACAGGAAACAGCCAACATTGCATTCAAGCTGTCCGACGACACGCCCACCTCGCCCGTCGCTGGCTCCACACCCGTCTTCTCCTCTTTCATCCCCGCACCCCAGCGCTCTCAAACCCTGCCCCTCTCCTTCGGTACCGGGACCACCTCAACCCCGCCGACCGACTCCCCTCCATCCTCCCCACTCCCACTCCCTCACGGGCCCATAACAGCGCTCACCACCGCCCTAGCCCGCGCACCGAACCTGCACACATTCACAACACACCTTCCTTCCGTCTGGAACGTCGCCATCCTCGCCGTCAGCGCCAACCCGCGCCTCGAGCGTATCGTCCTCGTCGACGGCCGCCGCCCTGCCCGCCCATACCCTGAGCCTCCTTCCCCTATCCACACACACCCCTCCCCCGCCGCCTACGCGCCCTTCAGCCCCAGCTCCCTCGGTCCGCCCTCGCGCACCCATGCCGGCCCCTCGCAGCCCAATCCCCAGTTCACCCCACCCTTCCAGGCCCCGTTTAGCCCTGTTCTGAATGCGAAGGCTGGACCTGCTAGGGCGAGGCTGGCGATTAATACCAATACTGCGTATACCCCTGGGCAGTGTAGTCCCAGCAGCGTACCTGTGTGTATGTCGCCCTCGTCGGTGCCGTACCCGCCTGCCCATGCGTGCCCGACTAGTCCGCAGGCGCATGAGGGGGGGATTATTGGGACGGGGTTGTTCCTTATGGAGGCGCGGAAGCATGCGCGGCTTGGAGAACTTATTCGGAGTGGGACGGTTGTGGTTAGGGGGCGTGCGTTTACTATGGGGAGTCCTGGGAAGTGAATGGGTTTGGCTGTTGTGATGATGATGATGATGATGATGAAGACGACGTCGACGACATGTTATTTATTAAGAAACGACACAAAAAACAACACAGACCATGGACTTGCGGACTATCGACTTTCTCCATTAATCTTTCTTTTTATATTCTTCCTCTGTACAACCACACGTAGACCCGCTGCACATTACATATGCACCGTCATATTTTCTAGAGGCACGTTCCCCGGACCCGCGCACATCCCACATCCCACACAGCTCTACACTGAGCACTCTCCCATGCCCGACTCGGACTCACCCGTGCCCCCCCTGTACATGTGTAGTTACTACTATATTATACCATATACCATACCATCTGCGTGTAGTATGTACTCTACGTACTTGCGTCCCCGCTTGGGGATGTATATATAATATAATACCCGGATACACGATTGGGTGCCCTCGGGTTGTGCATGTGTGATAATGGATAAGGAGCAGATATCCTCGGACGGCTACGCGTGCGCGTGGGTGTGGTGTGATTCGTTAATTGGGGAAGAGTATGTATATTGCCTGGCAGTAAGAAGATGTTGGGAATTATCAGCAGCATGGCGCAGTTGGAAGCGCGCGGGGCCCATATCATGATACGAACCTTGATAATGAGCGATACCCCGAGGTCACTTGATCGAAACAAGTTGCTGCCAATAGCGTATACTGAATGGTTTTTTTTTTCGGGGGGGTGCGTTTATCCTGAAGGAGGTCTGTTTTGGACTTTGGTGTTGTGTTTTGGGTGTTTTTGGGTGTTGGTATGTGAAATTCTCATTTTCTGGTGTGTTGACAACCTAGGCTTCGAGATAGTTTTTGGACCTTATCTATGCGAGGGTACCGGGTGTGCCCGGATATAGGTACTATGTACGCTGTCTAGTTTGTGGCCAATGACAAGCGCCTGCATTTTTCCGTTCCCAGTCGGAACCATCCACTTCAAGGAACGAGCTTCGGATTCGTCAAGGCTCAGAATGTTAGGAACGCTTCATAATTATAAACTATTTCGAGGTTGCGTTGTTGGATAAGCCAAGGATTCGAATAGGCACGAAGCTTTAAATTTTTGGTATGGCTGTTAGTATTTCGGCCACGCCGTAAATCCGTTCAAATTTCACGAACGCCAGGAGGTCAACCGGTCCACCAGTCACATATAATTGGGAGGCTTCTCAAGAGCCCACAAACGTCCGGACTTTGCACCGTGAATCCGTGATATCGAGGTAGCCCCGCCGTCCTCACTTCGAAAGAGATTGAGAACCCCAAGGTCCAAATTCAAACTCTGAAGACGCGTTGCGGCAATCTTATCCCAAGCACCCCAACCACCTTTCAAAACCTATCACTCCTGCCCCTCATGTGATCCCACCTCACCTTTTTCCAGGGGGTTAGAATGGAACGACACGATGACCGCCTCCTGTATCTGTACGCATTGGTGTCCGCTCACACTTATTCTCCCTAGTTCCCTAAACCACTTCTCTCGATGCCTTTTTAGGCACCCATAGCTCGATGGTGAGAGATATGACGAAAGCGGTACTGAGCGCGATATGAATCTTAAGGTCGCGATTACCAAAAAGCAGAGCACTGTGGACATACTCCTGATGTGCTTCAACCCATGGCGCTCTCTCACACCAAACATTAGAGAACCAATACTCGCTAGCTCGCTATTTATTTTCCCAGTGTCGGCTTTCCATGGTGAACATTCCGGGCCAACTCTGAAAATTTGCTCTACAATTTGGGTTTGTGCTCTTCAATGGTCGGGGAATATGATTGCGTTATCTTATCTGATACACGCGTGGAATGGGAGGACCGAAAACATCTCCACTGGCTCTGGATACTATCTACTTCCCAACATTCGAAATCAAACTCGAGTCTTACGCGATCGGCTTTGTGACTAGCTGCCTATCCACCATTATCATTATCTCCAGTATCTAAAGGCAAGGCGATCCAATCGGCGAGAAATCTCCAAATCGCCACATCCGACCTTGTCCTCACTATACCACATAACAAGCAACGAGCGAAATCTAGATCTTCAAGTAAGTTGTACCTCTCCTCCTTATTGGATGTCAGTAGTTCACCCCCCCGATTTTCCATAGACTATATCATGATCTTCGTCCGCGGGCATCCTCTCATCGTCACCACGCGCGGCCCCGGAAAGTTGCATCTCCTCACCCATGGAAATCCCAATCTCCCAAGCTGCAACGGCTCTACGGAGACCAAAAACGCAGGAACCACTCGTTTCCTGATCTCCTTCAGCCACAACTACACCAAGTTCGCCTTTCACTGGGATGGTGCTGGAGAGGCGGTGTATGGAGTTGGCTCCGATTTGACAAGGGTCCCTGTTGGGAGGAGTTGGAGTCAAGCAAGCTTGGTCAACTGGGGCGCATCGACTGTCACCACAGGGGATGTTACGAGTGCATTGCAACATGCGCTTGCAAGGAACGAAGAGACAACCTGCTTTATTATCCCTGACCTGATTTGAATCCTCAAATGGATGTTGGTCTATGTACGTAATATGGAGAGTGGATGGGTATCTTTTAGAGATTTCTGTGTGCGGCGGCTGGCTGTCAGATGAACGGAGTGTGTATGCCGTCAATTGTGCAAATACCATTACTACATGCATGCTGTAAGTGCTCACGATAGGTAGTACCTTTCTTTTCCCGTGTCTGTTCAGAGTTCCTCGGGGGCCTTGGTTGGGTGGATATTGGTGTGGTTAGGGCGCAGGGCATGGCTTCGAGTGGGATGTATTCTAATCTGTTCATGCACCTGTTCCCAAATCCTCTGAGGCACGATCACGCTCAACTTAGCCTCTCAATTTGGAATCCAGACTATTGGAATTTCTTTTGCTAACCTATTTTGGCAAAACATTTATCAAGGGCATGTATTCCCCTTTTCAAGGGGAATGCCTGCGAAGCGGTGCGTGCAGTCATGTGTTGACTACATCACTTCCATACCGGACTTCCCCGAAGGACCAACTCTTAAGTCCCACCACAGCTTCCGTCTTCGTCAAAAAAAAGCGAGTCGTAGGAAACGTTTGCGCTGCACACTAAACGCAAAATTGGTATGAAACTTCAGTTACTGTAAGGTTGTTTACTAATGCATGCCATTGTTGAACAGGCCATATTTTAAATAAGAACTCATCACAAATGTCCCAACTTGGCATTCACCATACTAGTACTCGGGCTAGACCATCTGTCCCCACCTCAAGGGAATTTGGCGCCAACGTAGAAGCCGCCCGAATCGTTGACGAAGAACTCGAGAGCCTCGAGGCACAGATCCGAGATATAAAAGTGCATCGAAATACCCTCGTTCTTATCGCCCGGCTACCACCCGAAATCCTCTCCACGGTTTTCTTGATCCTTCGTGACGTGCCACCTTCGTTGTTACCGCAAGGGACCGGGATGGAATGGATGGCCGTCTCGTGCGTTTGTACCCATTGGCGTCAGGTCGCACTCAATTGTCCTGATCTTTGGAGTCACATTGACATCCGTCGCAACTCTGCCTTTGTCGAGGCCTTCTTGGAGCGGTCCAAACAAGTGCCGTTGATTTTTTCGGCCAAAATTACCCATAGTTCGCAAAAAGACGTTGGGATCTCATTGACAAACATGTGTAGGATGCGACGCCTATTCCTATTTTCACAGACTCATCTGTTGAATGCGTCTCTATTAAATACGCTTGAAACCCACCCGGCCCCTCTTTTGGAACAGTTTTCTCTGGGGTGGCCGACAAAGGAGACAAGCACTCCTGCTAAAACACTGACTAGTTTATTTGGAGGAATTCATCCTGTATTACGCAAGCTCAGGCTCATCAGGTGCAATATCTCCTGGAATTTTCCTCCCTTTACAACCCTTGTGGATCTCTTCATAGAGGGTGCACCATCACGGGACGCCCATTGCCCATCCGTAGCCCAACTTATTTCCATCCTCCAGAATACACCTTGCCTAGAAAATCTGAACATTGTTGGTACTATCCCTTCCCCACCAGCAGATGTGGCCCCCAGTACATCTGTGCTTCTACCTCATCTTGCGGTAATGGGCCTTCGCTCAGGAATCCGCCAGTGCATCGAACTTCTTGGTCACATGTCGTATCCTGCCGCATCCGTAATTCATATCGATTCGTTAGGCGTGGGTAGTTACACTTTAGAAGAGGCCTCAGAAATCGTGCACCGTGTGCTAAATTCCGAGAGGCTAATAGGAACTAGGCCACCTATCCAGTATCTGAGGGTCAGGTCTCCTATATCCTTTGATTATGGCGATGGATTACTCACCGTCGAGGCATGGGATAGTCTCGATAATTTGAGAGATGAGCCCTTCACTGTGCCTAGGATTGAATTAGCTGTATATATGTCAACAGATGATAGCACCCTGTTGACGGAAGTGGACCATATCGGCTTTTGGGATGCTCTACCTCTGGAAGGCTTGCATACGCTGGACATCATAGATCTCGACGTTCAGGAGCCTCTCTGGTTGAGACTTTTTGGTCGCCTAGAAGGATTGACTATCCTTAAATTTAAACCCCTTTTGGATGACGGGCCTACTAGCATCCTTGAAGCGTCGACCTTTCCGCCTTTTATAACCAATGAGGGACATGACCAAAACATTTCCCAGGAATTCCCTGGAGTTTATCTACCTGCCTTACGGGAACTGTCAATTTCAGAGTGGAACTTTAAGCTTTCGTCCGTGGGTAGTGAACAGACATCTATACTTCTAAACTATCTCGCCAGATTCTTGATGACGAGGGAAAACCTTGGGGCTGGAATCGAAGCATTGAACATAAATAGCTGCCGCAATCTATCCTGGGACGCGGTCGAGGAATTAAAGAAACTAGTCCCAAATATTCACTGGGACGTACTTGTGGCGATGTCAGAAGATGAAGAAGATGACTCTTAAATTCAACATCACAGGGTTAGAGCCCACTGCTTTCACAGATCTTGCTAGGTTCGGGCTGTCCAACCCCTCACAACAAAAAACTAATATTTGGCTGACTTTCTGGGCCAACTCTCAAACCCGTCATACGCTGGCACAATCCCTTGGTATGCGACTCTAGACATTAGTGTTCTTAGGGTACTCGGGGCTATCACAATTGTGTAACGAGTATTTCCAAGCAGTGGCAATGTTGAAGCGCAACGGCCACATCCGAATTTTCAAAATCATCCGAGGTATCGAGGGAATACCCGCCTAAAGCAAGGTCGTCGCGCAGCCCTCTAGGTTACTTAAAAGGGGGGGGTTCAATTTTTTGTCGTCAGGAATCTGTGTGGGCTTGGATGAACTAGGTGAACTAGGTGGAAAGGTGGCAGGTATTCAAGGACTAGGCCCCAGGGTAGCCGCTCGTGGTCACAGTTACCAAAATCAATAGCCCGATAGATAACAAAGTCCGACCTAGTATGGTCACCCTATCATTCCAAGCTAACTGTTATGAAACCAGAGCCTTCTACAGCTAAATGATATGCAACAACAAGTAACGATCAATAGTGGCCGCAGTACACAGATCCTTTTGCACAATGTCAACCATTAACTTGCAGCCTATAATCATTCAAATGAGTCCAGATCTCCCAATTTATATCGTTCTTAGATCAAATGCCCTATTCTAGTGAGACTCGAATTAGAACTAAGAAAGACTGAGACTTAACATACATATAACCATTTTCGAAGGCAGACCAAATGGTACTAGC